ACCTGGAGCTCCCAGACAAGGTAGTGGAAGTTGGAGACCAGATCTACATCACCATCTTATGCTCACTGCCCTCCACTGTGGAGATCTGGGCTAGCCAGACCACATCCCAGCAGCTGGCCCAGGCATTCAATGCCAACTCCACACCCCAAGTGTTCCAGAATGTTGTGCCTCCATACCTCCATGCATTTGAGGATGTGTTCTCTAAGGCCTGGTTTTACTTGCTCCTAGAGCCCAAACAGTGGACCCATGCCATTGAAAAATGCTGGATTATAAGCTCTCGAGCTGTAAGGTCTACCCACTGGTGCCCAAGGAGCAGGACAAGCTTGACACCTTCCTGCAAAAGAACCTGGACTCTGGTTGCATCCACCCCTCCAAATCCTGGATGGCTTCTCTGGTCTTCTTCATCAAAAAGAAGGACAGCTTGCTCCAACTGGTCTAGGACTATTAGATGCTTAATGCCATGACCATGAAGAACTGCTACCCCCTCCCCCTCATCTTCGAGCTCATCAATAACCTCCAGAGTGCCCAATACTTCACTAAACTAGATGTCTGGTGGGGCTACAACAATGTGCACATCCAGGAGGGAGATGAATGGAAGTCCACCTTCTGGACCAACTGGGGACTGTTCAAACCTCTCATCATGTTCTTTGGACTCACCAATAGCCCTGCTACCTTCCAGACAATGATGAACAATATCTTTCAGGACCTCATTGCTGAAGGTGTAGTGTGCATATACCTTGACAACATCCTTATCTACACCAAAATGTTGGAGCACTGCCAGATCACATGCCTCATCTTGGAATGCCTCTATTATCACCTGCTCTATCTCAAACCAGAGAAGTGTGAGTTTGAGCAGACCCAGATTGAATATCTTGGGCTGATCATCTTGCACAGAGCTGCAGAGATGGATCCAGTGAAGGTGGCAGGTGTTGCAGAGTGGCTGGAGCCCAAGAACAAGAAGGAAGTGCAGGCCTTCCTAGGCTTTGCTAACTTTTACTGGTGGTTCATCCAGGACTTCTTGCATCATGCCTGCTCTCTATTTGACCTCACTGCAAAGGACACTGCCTGGAGCTGGGGGCCTCTGGAGCAGACAGCCTTTGATGCTCTCAAGTGTGCCATCACCTCTGGACCAGTCCTCCTCTTCCTGGACAACAACTCTCCCTTCTGAGTGGAAGCTAACAGTTCTGACTTTGCTACTGGAGCTGTTCTATCACAACAGTCCCCAGAGGACAGGAAGTGATCTGAACCATGGAAGGTCTAGCTGTCAAGGGAGTGGAGGTGGACATCCTCCAGGACATCCAATATGGAAATTGAGATGGTTAGCAGGAGAAACTCATTGCCCAGGCAGCCTTGATAAATAGCAATATAAGATCAAGAGTTCCTAGGATATTATGGATGTGCACAAAAAGTACTTTGAGTTGGCAGTGCTCATGGTAGTAGTACTACTAATGATTTGACCACTAACTACTAACAGTAATGGTGACAACAAGGCCTACTACACATCAGAAAATCATGGTAACAATCATGGTCACACTGATGATGTCTATTGCCACCTAGATGTCATGCAGAGAACATGAACAACTAGTGATTTTACAAGTAGTGCACAAATGGACTACAGAAATGAGGGTTGAAAATTGAGTTATGTCCCAGAGAACCTGGTTTAGTAAAGTGTGTGGAGGAAGGGAGGACTTAAGTGGAAAGTGGTCATGAGATGCTGGCCATAGATGCTAAGTGTTAATGAAGAGGTTGCAAGCACTAAGGGTATTAGTAAGAGGTTGATTGCATGGTAGGAACACTAAGGCTAGTCAGGATAAGGCATTACAAGTGGATGTATTATACATTGTAGCAGAACATGCTTTGTATTGTATAGTGCATGTCCAGTGGAGTCCTTTGCATTGTAGCAGAAGTTAACAATGTTATGTCCACAATGGTGTCATTGCAATGTTACAATGTGTTGTTGAAAACATTCTTAGCAAAAATCTTTGACTGCCCTCTTATTGCTACAGGATTCTTACATTGTGTCATTGTCAACAGTATCAGTGAAGGCACATCTACCATCTGCTTTCCATTGCCATATGGCATCCATTGTAAAGGTGGTTCCATTAGCCAGTGGCTGCCAGCATGGAACTGTTTACATTTGAAAGTCACTCCATTGTTAATATCTTTGTCCATCACTGGATGCCATCACAGAACTGTTTCTGTTCAAAAGATTTCAGTCTGTTATTAGATATCAGAGAATCTATAAGCAGTTCCAGTAGTGGCAAGAAGCTATCAAAGAGCCATTTCTACTGCTGTAGTATCTTACCATCCATTTCAAACCCAGTGGAAATGGCCATTCCAATGATTGACCACTCCACAGATGTTCCAGGGAAATATGGCTATGGTGACAGGCTCATGACTTGGTGGTTCAAAGTGCTGCATTGGATATGGTATGAGTGTGGCTGCAGCACACTGTACAGTTGGTTCCCATGCTTCTGAAGCCTCTGAAGCATCACACTGGCATAGGTAATGCCCAGACTTGTTCTCTTGGATCTCCCTGTGCCAGGTGTGTAGTTATGCCTGTAGACACTGTACAGTACTGAATATACTTTGGATCTTCTCTCCCAGTTGTGTGATTGAGCCACAGCCTCCAGAGGTTGCCCTTACAGCATTGTTACAATTCTTTCTGTCAGGATGAGAGTTTGACTCGTTCTGGATGGCTGGACTGAAGTTTAATAGTGGACAGTAGATGGCATACTGGATGGTGCATTCAGAGGGGCAATTGGATCAAACATTAATGGTCAATCAATGACCATGCTAGTTTGACCAACAAACAATCCAAGGAAAAGCCCTATCCTTTGCACAGGTAAGATATTCATCAAGTTCATCCTCCCTAGGCATCATTCCACCTCCTTTGGAATGCCATAATTTCAAGCAAGCTTATTATGACAGACATGATCTGCCTTGAAGTTTCCATCCATCATTGATGAGCAATTGAACTTTCATGGAACTACATCTTCTTCCCAGTTTTATGGAATATCCACTACTGCTTGAGGGCAAGTGGGACAGAATATTGCAAGTTCACTATGCTCTGGTACCATTGGTGCTTTTATTTCATCATGTCAAAAACCTGCCCATTTCAATTATTTCAACCATTACCATAAACAAGAAAGTTCTTGTAGTTCATGATGGAGGCTATCTACTTCACCTGAAGAAGCAATTGATGAAGGCACTCCTCATGAGCTTCTGCCAATATTAATAAGCAGAGGCTTTGCACTCCAAATTAGTCAGATAGAAATTGTCTAGAATAACTGTTGTAAAATATGTCCTTGTTCATTCAAATGTGCTAGGAATCAGCTGTGAGTGAATGACATTCTTGACCCAGACATCTTGACCAGAACACTTGCATGCAACAGCACTGATGTAGTGCACACCAGTCATGTGTACCATGTGTGCAATCAGGCTTGCTTTGGGGTTTCCAAAGCAATCAATTCTCTGAATACAGCACCCATATGTGGATGGCAGATTGAAACCAGCAGTGGCTTCACAGGGAGGAAGTCCATCAACATGTTCAGTATGATGATCCTCATCTGTTGTGGTCCATGTGATGGAACATCTTCTATTGGTACTTTTTCAAATGGCAGTTCTTCACCATCCATGGTGTCATTGTCCTTTAGTTCCTGTCACTCCTCCTCTAGTATCTGAATTCTAGCCAGAATTCTGGCATATGAGGTAGGCATGGATGAATTTGACAGATTTGACACCAGATCCATGGACAAAACCTCTACATCCACTGGCAAAAGCTGCTTCTCCTGCTGCAGCAACTGATCAGACAGCAGATCTGCCACCTTGTGTAATGGATTCACTGATAAAAACTGCATTTCTGCCAGTGGACCTGGTGCCAGAAACATGTTTCTATTGATTCCTATTTCTACATCAACATCAAATTGTTTCATCATGACCTGTATTAGAGATTTCAGCATGCCTGATAGCACTGTGGCAATGTTGACATACTCTAGGTGGACTGCAGAAAGTCTTGCTCCTTAATGTCATTTTTTTGTCCATAGTGCTCAGGAACCAAGTCATGCCACCATGACAATTGTGAATTGCATGGTGGGGAACATGAAATAGCCACCTGCATCAGACAAGTCCATGGCTTGGAAGTACATTACTTACCATTCCATATCTCTGGTCAGTGAAGTGGGTTGGACTGGTGTGCTTGGCATAAACACCTACAACAAAAAACTCTCAATCCAATACAATAACAGCATTGCCATTGTGCAAGATGATTGTCTTATTTAATGTTGGATGGAAGTGCTGAGGTATTTGCAGTGTTGATGGATGTGAATGCAATAAGTCTTGACAATCTTCCCCTTCTGAAGGAATCAATGTGTCCTTCCAACTCTTGGACAATTGCTTGGTCACTCCCATCTGGTATAATAGGTGAATTTGTTACTGTTTCTGAAGCTGTATCCCTGTCAGCTCCTGGGATAGAAGTCAATTGGGTAAATGATGTTGACGTTTGATCCACACTTGATTCCTGGGTTCAACCTTCATTGGAACTCATGAGTTGAATAATATGATGAATGCAGTTCCAATAAAACCAAATGAAAAATGTGAAAACTAGCTTTAGGCTGGAATAACCGTTGAGCTAATAAAATGAGGAAAAAATGTCGAGATGGATGTTCTAACAAGACTCAGTTTCCATCCTCAGGCAAGCACGTGATCATCTAAAAACTTGGTCTTTACTTCAATTGATACTAGTGACATGCTCTACCACTGACTAAGAGGGACATATCTAAATTTCAAAAGCATTTGATAATGTGAACAGCTTTGAGTGACAATACAAATCTCCTTCACAAACCTTGTCTTCATACAATACACAGTCCCTCCAAGCCTGAGGAGATCCCGCAGAGACAAAAGCCACGCAACATGTCAACGAAAACAATAACAACGAGGAGGCTCGGGAGGTTCATTTCCCTCTCACATAAAAAGAAGGATTTTACCGAATTGAAGGTGAATTCCCTCTAGCCGACTTGAACGACTGACCTCGTCATAATACATCAAACTCGAAGTTTCGGGATATACTAGTGACGCGCTCTACCACTGAGCTAAGAGGGATAGATACTCCGTTTGTTGTTTGTGCATACTGATTCGTCCTCACCCTCACACACTCGTCTAATAAGCACGATATATAGACAAGCCTGAGTTCGATCGATTGAATCATTGGGTATGATTGATTATCTAGTGCTTAGTATCCATCGATCGTAATAATTCCAATCCAGTCTACCGGCAATAAGATACGAGATTGTCATTACTTACTTACTTCTTTCTACTAAGATTATGTATTGTCCAACAGAATATGTATGTACACTATAACACAGAAGGAGGATAAGAGGGTAGGGTAAGGGTAAACCATAAGTATTGGTGTGAGTGTACTTCAGAGAGGGAAAGAGGAGAGAGAAAGAGCATAATATACGATGCGACCCCAGCTCGGTCATATCCATCCATACCGTCCATCTCGTCTTCTAATGCACTCGTCGAACTTCTTACCTCTGCTCTAACCCGCGTCGCCCCGAACTCCCCGCACCCCCTACATAACAACACAATCCTTATCCTTCCCCCCCTTCAAATCCTGCTCGTCCCCACGGCGCAGCACTGCCCCTGGCCCACCAGGCAGCGGCTGATTAAGCTGTCCCTTGAGCCTCTGCGCCGCGCGCTTATCGCCTTTATCGGCGGCGCGTTTGTACCACGACACAGCGCTGCGCAGGGAGGGTTGATCAGATCAGATATTTAGAAAGTCGAATGAAAGAGGGGCGAGTGATGAAAACTCACTCGGGCATATTGACAGGCGTACCGATGCCGACCTCGTAAAAGTACCCTACGGCATACATGGCTTTGGCGAGGCCGCCTTCTGCGGCTTTCTGTGCCCAGAGGAAGGCTTCGGTGTCTGATTGGGGAAGTACACCGGGTGAGCCGACGAGGTACCATGCGGTGAGGGCGAAGCAGGCGTCGCGGTGGTTTTGCTGGGCTGCAATGTTCTGGATAGAGTTTAGATGGATGATGCAGATAGAAACAAGGTCAACGCACGTAATAGTGTATAGAAAGCGCTGCATCTTGCGGACACCCCATCTTTCCATACTCATAACACTCGCCGAGCCTATACGCACTCGGCGCATACCCCAGCTCCGCAGCCTGCGCCAACAGCTCGATCGAGTACTCAAAATCCACAAAAAGGACATTATCTATCCCCCTCTCGTGCAATAACGCGAGCTCATGCATCGCATGGGGGAACTCTGCGCTGGCATTCTCCGCACTGCGCTTGAGCCACTTGACGCCCTCCTTCGGACTCCTGGTGAGCCCCAGCTCGCCATTGAGCTCGGCAATACCGAGGCGGTACATCGCGCCGGGGTGGAGGGCCGCACTGGCCTTGCGGAAAAATGTGAGAGCCTTTGCGGACTCCCGGCGGCACCCCCAGCCGTTCTCACAGCACGTCCCGGCGCGGTACGCGGCATCCGCATGGCCGTGCTTCGCAGCGAGTACGAAGAGGGGGTACGCGCGGTCAAAGTCCTGCTTTCCCTTGGCGGTACCGATGCCGTTGGCGTAGCAGTCGGCGAGGAAGTACTGCGAAGAGGGGTGGCCGCGGTCGGCGAGGCGCTTGAGGAGGGCGGTGGCTTCCTTGACGAGGTCCTCGCGCTTCTCGAGGGCTTTCTCGACGACGAGGAGGTTGCCGGGCGTGGAGGGCGGGATGGGGAGGGATTTGGAGGCATCGATCATGAAGACGGCAAATTCGAACTGGAGGTCAGGGTCTTGCGTCTTTTTGGCATTGGCACGGTAGAGCTCGAGGGTGCGCTCGTGGGAGAGGAGGGCGGCTTGCTTGCCAGGGCGGAGGTGGGAATGGTCGAGGATGGGCCCTGCGGCTGGCGGCGAGGGGGCGCGGATGGAGTTGGTGGCTTGCGAGGACGGCGGGAGCGGAGGGTCATGCTGGAAAGACGGCTGGTGGTGCAGGCCGCGGCTGGGCGAGCCGTTGAAGAAGTCGTCGTGGTCGTCCTCGGGCTCGTCGTCGTAGTCGTCCTCGACGTCCCACGCAGTCCCAGACGACAGCTCGGGGCGGTACTCGGCCTGCGCTCGTGCGGCTGCCATCATGGTCCTGGTCAAGAGCCGCCTGCCGCCCGAGCCGCCCTTTCTCACACTCAGCACCGATTTGAGCAGAGGTGCATCAGCCCCAAGACATCAATCCCTCTTAGCTCAGTGGTAGAGCGCGTCACTCGTATTTGGTGTGTTCATGACGAGGTCAGTCGTTCAAGTCGGCTAGGGGGAATCAGCAGTAGTAATACATTTTTGCTGTTTCACACAACACAACGCCTAGTTTACGGATTGACAATCAATACAAGTAACTTGTTAACAGCTGATGAAAAAATCAAACTTGTATTAATTGAGCGTCGCCAGCAGGATTTGAACCTACGCCCTCAAAGAGGAACAGATAATGAAACGTTCAAATCTGTCGCCGTAACCACTTGGCTATGACGACTGCCCGTTTTTCTCCAAAAGTTTCTCCATCTCGAGAAACCAGCATAGGACAAATCAGACTTGGAAATACAATCCTGTTACAGTTAAAACAAAGTTCCAATGAAAGAACTTAGACTTGTGATGATGCAGATGGAAAATGAACCCTTAACCTCGATGGTCTCTTTCTAGGTCAGTCAAACTCAGTTTATGTGATTACAATGGTATTTCTCAAGGGTTGCAACTTTGATTCATTTATTCATCTTATCACAAACCACATTCATCAGGCTTGGCCATATTTACACTGAATGAGTTCAAACACAGACTATGCAACCACCTCACAGCAAAGGTTAACTCAAGCTGATTAATTACACTGTCCAACTTGATGGAGGATCAAATGCAGACCAAACAAACTCAGCCCCTATTACTCCAACCAGGTCAGATACACTATTGCATCAGCAAAAAGGCTGTTTGAAGATATAGTTATACATGGCATGGGACCCAGTCATGATGGCTAGGTGTTAGGCAGTCTAACAAGGATCACATCAAAATGAGCAAATTCAAAATGAATCTCCAGAACGTAAGGCCCCAAATAAATATCAGACATGTTGAAACTCCAACATCATAAAGATAAAGGAATTCCTAGTTGACCATAAGCTGATATATTGTTACTAGGTCATAACATGTTGGTGCTACAATGAGAACTTTGTGACTTTATCATAGAATATATGCTCATAATACATAAAAGGATATTTCAGAGAATAATACTATCTAGTACATATTCTGAAATTATTATAGTAAATTCTTGATGTTATTTCTATATATCTTTGAGAATGAAATCCCAGCTTCAAAGCATGGATAAATCTACTTCAGACTACATGCTAGTGATACAAACAGTTAAGATGTCATTGAGGGGAATAGCATGATAATATCAAGTCATTTGGATCTTGAAAGTCAGAATTTGGTCAATAATAGTCTCTACCTGTAACTTGAGATACTGTCAGGGGACTTGCATTCTCAACCTCCACAACCTGTTCCAGCATCTCTGCAGCTCATTTGATGTTTGCAGGGCTTGTTCCCGAGCCACAGAGATCTCCAGAGAACTGCAGAGCTCTCAGTATTATCTCACTGATCATCATCCTAGGGTTAGGACTAGCTCCAGCTTCCTGTACAGTAGTTTCCACACCTCTGCCACCCACTAATGTGCTGCACCAAGCAGTGGAGATCCTTAGACTTGTTCTCTTTGGATTCTCCTATGCTAGGTGATTAGTTATTGCTTGTATCATTGTCTACTTGCTCATATACTTTGGATTCCCTTCTGCTAGCTGCATGACTCTAATCCACTACTCTGGAGGTCACTGTAAGGGGATGACCACTTTACAGGTAACTCTGACTCTATCCAGCCTTAGTCATAGGTATAGCATCTGTCAGGTTCCGCTGACCTCGGGGGCTCAGCTGCACTGGGCGAGTCCTTACTAGGCGGGCGTGATCCCCTTGCACTGGTAACCGAACACTCAAAGACGTTCCGGGCCCTGGTGGCTTGTGCAGATAGTTGGGGGGATGTGATCCAGACAGATCCGGGGAGGTCCGGAGAAGTCGGATTGTGAGGAAACAAGACGGTCTTGGCGGGGTTCAGGCAGAAGGCCGTATGGGAGATTCACAGAAGCAAAGGATTAGGCAGCTGTGTGATCAATGGGAGCGGAGCCGGGTTTTGATGGGAGATCATTTGGAGCTGATGGAGTCTGGGACCAAGCAAAGAGCAAGGTTCGGACCTGGTAAAGGAGTGTCAGGGTTTGTAATCGTAATTGCGGAGTTTGTGAGGTCGTTAAGGTTGATGAAGGCTTGGGCACAATGGTTGGACGGAGTCACTGAGACAGTGTCAGGCGAAATGGGATGGGGTTGATATGGGACAAGAGTAGATTCGAATAGAGATACAAAGCGATAACGAGAATGATAATGAAATGGAGACGAGACAAGACCGGGAGACTGAGATAAGACCGGGAGACTGAGATGAGACTGGGAGACTGAGATAAGAAAACGAGACACAAGACACGAAACAATCAGACCATAAGTAACGTTAAGCAATATCAAGACTAGAGTACGAAGAGCTACTCAATGACTTATATACTGACTACCGGAGGACTTTGGGGTACGTTGGCTGTGGCGGCGGGGCTTGGCGGAGCTCGACGGAGGGGGCGGGTGTCAGTTGTGATCGAGGATCGTGCTGCGCTGATACGTTGATGGGATCATTGGAGAATGCAGGTTGCCCCGAGGTTGTCGTGATACTCCGGAATAGGTCGGAGGAACCAGGGTGTTGAGTCGATGATGGGTGGCAAAGATCGGGAACAGCGGGGGTGGTTCTCGGGGTTCGGGAGGCCCAGGGTAAGTGTCAGTGGCTGCAGGGCAGGCACCGAAGTTGGCCAGGGGGCCGTCGGAGTTAGCTGGGGAGGCGTCGGAGTTAGCCGAAGTAGGCGCGGGGCATGGGCGGAAGTTCAGCGGAGCGTTGGGGGTTTTTTGGGGGTTCGGGGGGTTGATGGACGATGTGCGGGGTTTCGGGGGACGGGTTGTGACAGCATCATCTTTAGCATATCTGACCAACTGGCTGCCAAGCCCTT